AAAAAACATCTAGAAATAAGTAAAAAATGTCTTAAATTAAGTGTATTTACCCTTAATTTGAGCAGGCAAACAAGATGATTTGCCAATGGAATGAGCATGTTTACTCCTAAAATAAGATAATTAGATAATATACACTTGAAATAAGACAAAGCAATTGTTTTTTCTTATTTTAAGCATAAATTGTCTTGTTCCATTGGCAAAGTGTCTCATTTACCACCTGAATTCAAGAAAAAATGCACTTAATTTGAGTAAAAATGACTTATTTAGAGTTCCATTTTTGCAGTGAGTGTGCAAGCATTGTGCAACACTTTTATGCTAACAGCAACATGACCAACATGTCAGGCTAACCCCAAAATCCCACATACTCCATCAGCGCTCCGCCCCGCTGCGCTCCAGACCGCCTACACAAAGCAAAGCCTACAGCCTCCACTGTGGCTCCTGTCCGCTCCGCTCTGAGTCCCTTGGAAATCGTAGAGGGCATGCGCTAGATGATTAAATTCAAAGCAGCAAAACATGCGGAAATGATCCAGTGTTTCCGCGGATCATTAAAAATAATTACCATTCATTAATTTTTTTGGATTTTTTCATTAATTTCATCAATTTTAATGGGATTTCGGTGTAACAATCAACATATATACCGAACCAAACCGAAAACCGTGACCACGAAACCCTGAATCGAACCGTTCCACCCCTAATATGTATATATGGTACATTTTTGCAGTGTTCTGGTTTGATGTTGTCAGTTTGATGCAGAGTCTGTGACATCTAGCGATGTCGCTACGGTAACTGCCACACTCAAGCTGCCGCCTCGCGAGTCCCTCAGTCCCTGGAAGAGGAGCACATTGCTAATAAAGCAAAGGACAGCAAAGGAACATCAGACCAAAGTTGGTTTAAAGCCGTCCGTCGGTCGTCAGTCATTTTCCACCGACCGAACCAACATCTGTTATACGATTGATTTTCCAGTGTTGAATGTTCAACCTGATTTAGAAAAAAATAAAACATCCGATTAATTTTCAGAATATTGATAATAATTTCCTGTGGTTATTTTCCTTTACTGCAAGAATCACAGTAGTCCTTCAAAAAGTCTCNATAAAACATCCGATTAATTTTCAGAATATTGATAATAATTTCCTGTGGTTATTTTCCTTTACTGCAAGAATCACAGTAGTCCTTCAAAAAGTCTCAGCATGCCCCATTTTTATCTACAACTGCTATAATGTTGTAGACTCCTATATTTATCTTACAAACTTACATACATTAAATTAGCATACTTAGTTTGTTTAATATTTAGTCTAATTAAAAGCTGGTTTTAATATTTTATTCATTGAAATCAGGTTGCTATAGAACCAGTGAAACTAATTTAGCATAATTTCTTATAAAGGGCTTGAAATTACAAATCTGCTTGAAACATGATGAAGGAGTCTGAAAATGGCCACATTTAAATAATGGAGTTAAAAATATCTCTGGGGAGCACGTCGGAAAACCGCCTTCAATTTTACTTATTTTTTCATTTTATATTACGGTATTCAACTAAAATGCTTTACCATTAGGATATTAGGTAAGGATTTCATCAACTAGTTTTTATTTTTATCCAAACTTTATTTGTAATTGTGAAAAATCACACAAATTAGAAAACATGATTTAAAGGAAAGCAGATTTACAAAGTTAATACAAGATATAAAAGGAAAATAAATGAAACAACATAACAAAAAAAAAGAGGTCTGCTACATGCAGGTTAAAATGATTATTTTGGTTGACTTATTGTTTAATTTTTCTAGTTTTTAATTATATTTTTCTGTTATTTTAGATCATAAAAGGATTTTTTTTGCCAAATCATTTTGTGAGGATAATACTTAACTAATTAAATTAGTGTTATATTTATCCTTTTGTCTTACATTCACTGTTTTTTTATATACGTTTTTTTTATTTCATTGCACTATTTCCCTGCACGGCTTTGTCTTATGTTGTTTTGAGCTGCTAAATATTTAATTATCCTGAACACATTATCCCCTCCCACACTGTTTACACTGTGATCGCTGCTACACTTTATGGAATGGAAATGTTCATTTACTGTCTGAAAGCTGCACTAAACAAAAATTTCACTTTGTGTTTAGAAAATGACAATAAATGTTGTCTAAGTCTAAGTATCCATGCTACAACGATGGCAAATAAAGACTTCTGATTTTTAAGAAATGGTTCATAATAATGATAATTGTTAAGAATCATTAAGACTTTATTTATCTCACAACGGAGAAATTAATTTGTGACATGAGCCTGTAATAAACAACAGGAGGTGCAAAAGAAAGAAATAAGAAAATAAAGAATAGAAATCTAAGGTGATCTTATCTATATTGAGGTAGGCATTGCTCAGTCGTATGTTTTGGATCTTTTGGCAAAATATATCTTTCTAAGCAAAAATATTCTCAGTGGTTCTTCCCTCTTTGCATCCAAGCCTTTAATTGTGCAGTTTTTTCCAGCTGGCTTATTTGAACTGTTGAAGGAAAGCAGCAACCTCTGCATTGCTTCTGAGCCCCTTTGCCTTCATAATTTGACACTGATGCTCTAAAGTTTGAACGATGTCACCCTCATTTGCTTCTGTCTGTTGCTTTTGGCATGAACTTTAGAAATGTAACGCTTAGAAGGAGCCATTTCTGATCTCTATCATGGAGCTGCTAAGAAATGACAATGGCTGAGCTCCATCTCTGACACCAACCTGCTGTTGATGCAGAATCCTTTGGTGTTGAAACCAGAACGAAATATTTGTATAGTTTTATATTACATCAAAAAATATAATTGATGAAAATGTTTCTGTAAAATGAATACCTCCATTTTGCACCTCTCTAGATGTTCATACCGCTTATGGAGCATCCAGACATGGCTGTGCTGGTAGCTGGGAAACTGTAGGAAATAGTACATGTTTCTGGTTGCAGCTTTGTTGCTGCTCTCTCTCTTTTTGTGCTCCAAAGTAGATCTTCTAAACATCCAGTTGAAAACATAAGATGAAGGTTCATTGAAGTCAGATTCTTGGAAAGTTAAAGTGTGTAAATCAGCCCATAGTTCTGTATCTTGGCTGCATATCAGCACCTGTGATGTTTGCTTTCCGTTCAACCTGTTGAACAAATAGTTTTCTAACAAATTTTTCTGTGTATCTATTTCCTTTTGTGTTTGAAAGCATAATAAAGAGAGAAATAAAGTGTTGAAATACTTTCAGCTCTTTGACAGATCAAATGTATTAATTGAGTTAAGATTTTTTGTACTTTTCTACGGAAGAGGATTAGGGCCACTGGAAAAAAAAAAGTTAACTGATTTTTAAATTTGATTTCAGTTTAACATGGGGGAAAATGTCAGAATTTTGACTTTTTTCTCAAAATTCTGATTTTTTTTCCTTAGAATTCTGACTTTTTTCCTCAGAATTCTGACTTTTTTT